GCAAACTGGGAGCTCAATGAGGTCCTGATCCATGGACATTTCTGTAATTTTCAGGTTCAACAACAAGACCAGACAGCTGCAACACCAGTAAGCTGAGAGAGACAGCGTTAGCCTGCAATACAGTACATCCGTTTCTGTTATTCAGGCCAGGGTTTGAGAATGATAGCAACTCTCTGCTGTTAATGAATCAATCAAGATAGAGAAGACTTTTCCCATTTTACAAGAAAAGTGTGTAGACATTTGTTCTTGGTTGCATATAAAACTTCTTATGGCTTCTAGAGTAGGCAGCAACTTTCAGCTCCTTACTTACCAAGCCATGTCTGATGGATGGGTCCATCCCATTTCAGCATCCCAGGATCGCCACTCACTTCCAGTGAATTTTCAAGTAAAGTACAAGTTACTGGTAAAACCTATAACATCTCAGTCGGTAATGTTAAGTCATCAGAGTGGCTGTCTTTTCCTGTGTGATAATGTGGAAAATTTTCAGCACAGGGATTCAGAATGCAGGATTATAAAAGGATTAAAACTATCCAAAGAGGTACAGTGAATTCAAATGTACATTCACCTCGTACCTGCTAGTACAAAGGATATTGGATTGCTATATAGGGAGACTTGTTAAGAGACATTGATTTTCAAAATTATCAAGAATCATATCATAGATACTTCTGTAGAAAAATGATTATGCAAAGAGTTGCAGAGTGGGTTAAAGATGTAGCCATCAATGCTCAGCATCTGTAAGCATCTTGTGAGCAAAATTTTTTGTGATAAACAAGTGAAATGAAAAGGTAGGATGTAAGGTGGGTGCAGGAAGGTAAACAATCATAGAAGAAACTGTATTCTTAGCTAAAACAGATCCAGAACACACGTTTGAGCATCTAATCTGGTCTGAGAAGATTTCAGACCATAAAGCAGCCTCTTGTGAGGCTTCGTCCTGATTCCCCTGCATTGTTGCACTGCCTGTGCAGTGAAACCTGTCCCCTGCAGCTTGGGTCGTCATTACACATTTCCTCAACTCCATACTTTCCCCGCTGTCATAAAAATCACCAAATATGAAAAAACGTTCAAAATTATGCCTCAAATCACAGTTCATTGAGCTTATTATGCATAATTTAAAATAGTTAATATAAGAGAAAAATCAGTATTTTAACATGAATAAGAGGGAAAAAAGCAGGAAGCAAAGCAGCTTGACAGGAGGATTCACCTTGGCTACAAGTCTTCATTTTCTGCTAGGACATCCCAATCCTGGCTTAGTTCTGGCTTTAGTGCTTCCTTTAAGGATTCAGTGGCAAGCACACTCTGCATTAATCTTTTATGGTTGATGTTATACCGCTTTGTGGTCCAATACTGACTCAACAACCTTCTCCTTTTATGTTCTTGCAATATAAAACGCTTTTGGTTCCGGTTGTCTTTGTAGTTTGTGTCCTGCAAAAATCTGAAACTGGAGATGTGATGTGAGCAAGAGTTTCTTTCTGAAGAGACCGTGGTGAAGGGCAGCTCCATCCTCTTCCTACCGCCGGTTTCCCACACAACGGGAAATTCATGTTAAGATTAACACAGAGCTGACCATTTCACATTTCTCCATTCGTTTGTTTCATTGTCTGAAGCACATGTATTTTCCCGATAATTTTGCACCCCGTGGTGACACATCTTTGCTGACATTTGTCCTTAATTTATACCTCCGTGTCTTTAAACGAAATACTTGCCACCTCTCCCAAAAGGAGCTCGAAGAAGTTAGATTCATTTGCAGACCGATCATGACTATTTATCTGATCTTTCATCCACCGAGCATTTTTATATCTTCCAACCACTACGATTCTGTGATTCTGATTTTAGAGCTCTTCTACTTGCTGTTACTTTTGGATGCTCTCTAGTCAGTACTTCTCTTACCAGATGTTTTACAGCTCCTCTTTGCCTAATTACTTCATTCACCGGGGGTTTAAATGAACGACACTGGTCACCTGTAAGGGTGTCTCTGAGTGCTTCGTGAAGAAACCTCTTGGCGCTGGTAGGAATAAGGGCAGCCTCCCCGCTCTTTGCTCTTCAATTAGCCTCTAGGTACGTCATTAAATCATTAAAGCAGCCACCACGCATCCCCCCGGCAGTGGCCATGGTGGTGGTGGGACAGGATGGGGAGAAGTTGGTTGGGGGCCCGGAGGAAGGGTGGGGAAGGAAGACACCTCACCACCTCCTCCTCCTCCTCCTCCTCTTCTCCTCCCTCCTTCTTCGGGGCCGCGCCGCTCCGGAGCTGTCCAACGTAGCTCCGCTCCCGCTCATCTTCCGCACCCCCCCGCGCAGCCTGCACCCCCCAACCCCTCCCTCCGACAGCCCGCGGAGCGGGAAAACTGGGGGAGATGGTGTTGGAACTGGGAGGGGAAGTGTCTTTCCCGCAGCATCTTTCCCGGGACGCGGGGATGCGCGGTGCCCCCGCGGTGTTGTCAACCACGGCGATTCCCGGTGCGCGGTGGGGAATGTTGGCGGCCCTGGAGGCAAACGGGAAGGATTTTTGAGGAGCGGGATCCTTGGGCCTCCCCCACACCCCCCCTCCTTTGATCTGGGATGGGCTGTGAAATCCCTTCAGAAATTAGAGACTAATTAGCCCCAAAGCCAGAGTGGCGACGATGCATGACAAAAGCGCAGATCAGGCGTTAAGGAGGCGGCGCAAGAGCAATTAATGGCCTAATGAGCTGTGTGCGCCAATCGTGTGCCAAAGGAAATCGATCCGGGACAACCCGGTGTGTCCCACAATGCCAGGGGTTGTCCCTGCCAGGCTGTGTACCTGGGGACAGTCTCTGGCGTGGGGGGGTGAGGACACAGCCCCTAACATCTCTCCCAGCCTCCCAAAGCAAAAGCAACACAATCCCCAAAGTCCATCCCCGGGGAAACCTTGATGGAAGGAAGGTATTCGAGTACACGCGTGTGTTTATGCGCATTTCACGGGATTTTGCGCCGTGTATCCCTCGTGGAGGCAGGTCGGTTCCTCCGTGCACCGCCGGGGACCGGGATGGTCCTACCAAAAGTGTGAGAGGAACCGCTGCCCTGTGAGAGGACCGGCTCGTCCTCCTCTCCTTGGGCAGGAGGAAGGAGTTTCAAAGCAAGTGCTTTGAGGTTGCCTGAGCCGAAATCACAAAATCACAGAATCACAGAATCTTAGTGGTTGGAAGGGACCTCTGAGATCATCGAGTCCAACCACAAAAAAAAAAAAAAAAAAAAAAAAAAAAAAAAAAAACAAAAAAAAAAAAAAAACCCACCCCACAACACGTTTCCAGGCTTATAGAGGCATTCTTAAAAAATTAACATCATTTAATTGACTCAAGTGCAGCTTTAGGAAGCCGGCTTTACACTGCCGGGCTGGGGAGATGTTTGAACTCTAGTTGAAGGGGATTTAGGGGGAACGGAGAGGCGATTCCAACAGTTACTACCGGGAATGCAATCTCGGGTCCCCCGCAATGCTTACTTAGGCTAATGGAGGTCCTGTCATTCAGCTCCCATTGCGCTGGGATACAGGGTAAACATTCCCCCGGTGACCCTCTGCGTGCAGGTCCCCTCTTCAGGACATCATTAAAAGCATACATGCACTTGCCTGACATCAATTGTGGGGCTGGCTCTCGGGGTTCAGACATCCCGCCAGAAAGCAGGAGAGCAAGCCCAGAGGAGACCCGGCTCCGCGGCTGCGGGCTTTAAAGAGCCTGAAAATCGTTTGGTTGCGGGTGCGTAAGAAGAGACAAAAGTGCTCAGCAGGTAAGAGCGGAGGGTTTTTGCCAAGAAGGAACTGGCCTTGATCGCTGTGACAGGATTGACTCGCTGGGGACTCCTCTCTCGGGAGCATCCACGCGTCCCCGAGGGGGCTGCCTGTCTCCTCTCATCAGCATCACGGCGAGAAATTTTTTACAGCCGCTCTTTCTAGTCCTGCTAATCCTGTTATCCGGGGGGTTATAAATATTAACGCCGCTGGGGCTGGGGATGGGGGGACCCAGATTAAACCCTCTCTGAAGTAAGATGTCAGCCAGCCTCTTCCCAGCCCACCAGCGCCCGGGGCTGCTGGATGAGCTGCAGGGCAGAGCCCCCCAAGTGCCCTGCCCGGAGGGGCTGCTGGGCTCCTCCGTGCTGGATTTCGTGGCCGATCTCTCCCTGGGCTCCCCCCAGGTCCCCCCCAGAGCCGGGCCGAGTTTGGGGCTCTGCGAGGTCACCTCCGGGCCTCCCTTTGGGGACACAGCCCTGTCGCTCCGGGAGGGGATGGCCCGCGGGTTGCCCCTGGCTGCCTTCGGAGATGGAGATGCCGAAGACGAAGAGGAGGAGGAGGAAGAGGAGAGGATGCGCAACGCTTCCCTCTTGGACAGACCCAGGAGAAAGCGGGTTATCACCTACGCCCAGCGCCAGGCCGCCAACATACGGGAGAGGAAGAGGATGTTCAACCTCAACGAGGCGTTTGATCAGCTGAGGAAGAAGGTGCCCACCTTCGCCTACGAGAAGAGGCTCTCCCGGATAGAGACCTTGCGCCTGGCCATCGTGTACATCTCCTTCATGACTGAACTCCTGGACGGCTGCAGGGGGCAGGAGGCGAGCTAGGGACCGCCGGGACCCGGCGGGACGGGGCTGGGGGCTCGGTGACACCGAGCAGGTGGCCCCGGTCGCCTCCCTCCTCGGGAAGCAGAGCCGTGCTCCTGCCTTGGCTTCTCCCAGGGCGGTGTGGGTGGGGGATGCAAAAACGAGGAGTGTTTGGGGAAGTGCGAGTTGGGGGTGGGGGGGTTGAGGGATTTTAAATGAAGGGACAAAGCAAAAGAAAGAAAAGCATATTTAGATTAGGAACATTGCTTGGACTAAAAGACCCATGACTGCAAGAGATGTCACATTATAACTTTTTCTTGGTGAATTTCTTGAAAAAGGCAAAGCTATTGTATATTCCTCCCAATGACAGAAATTGGAGAGGCTCAGTATGTGTAGATTTGCTAATATATATATAATTTTTGTAAAGAGAAGAAAAAAGAAAAGGAAGGTCTGGGGCCCTTCTGTTGGTGTTGCGTCGCCTGCTTGCTTTCAAATTTTGCAATTTTCGAGAAAAGTTCGGTGAGGGCAGCAGAGCCGGTCCAGTTTGAGGACTGGGTTCCCAGTTGCCGGCCCAGCTGCCCTCCAGGGAGTAGGAAAATCTCGGCGTGTGCATTTTAACCTAGAGCTTTCCGCCTTTATCTTTTCCTTTTTCTTTTTTTTTTTTTTCCTTTTTTTTTTAAATAAACAACAACTCCCTTTTTTCTTTGAAATCCAGCCTGCGCAGTCCGTGCCGTGTGTCGCGGGGGCCGGTAAAGCCCGACAGCTGGACGCCACCGTTTTGCTGTCACGATTTTCTTTCTTCCCGGGACAAATTGTGTCCTTGCCGGGGCGGGGAGGGGACAAGCCCCCTCGCTCGCACCGAGCAGGGGCTGGCGGAGAAGGGTCCGGGGTGGTGCGGGGCCGTGCGGGGCGATGTGCGGGGCGATGTGCGGCGACCGGTTGGGCCGTAGCCCCCCCGTCGCCCCCCGGCAGCCGCGGACCCGTCCCGGGAAGCCGTCTGAGCCCTCCCGAGAGAGAAAACTTGCGGGTTTTGATTCTGGGGAGGTCACGGAGGGTCCTTTTTCTCCTTCGCCGGGTCCAACTCCGCCTCTGTGCCTTTCGGTGCTGCAAGGAGAGAAAATAAATAGCTCAATAAAAGAAATGCTGAAAAGCAAAGGGAAGGAGGTCCACTCGGGTTTTTTTATCATTTTCTAATAATGCTCGTTTTTCTAATAATCAGCCGCTTGTTAGCATGGGGAGAGAACCAGGGAGAGCTGCGGCGGTGGGGCTGGGGGGG